TCACACACACACACACACACACACACACACACACACACACACACACACACACACACGTGCACAGACGGGCAGACGGACTCACCGACAGAAAGTTTAAATAATAGATAAACGAATAGGCATGAAAACGTTCTTGTTTTGTGACTTGTACTTCGAAGCGAGTCAACACAACAGTATGATTGTGGTGGGGGCAAGATAAACCAAACGTTTAATACATTTAGCTACACATGAAATGAGTCTTTGTTAAAGTCGAAACCAAGTTTTGTGCGTTTCTTAAGACAAGAGCCAAGCATTCGAGGAGGAAAGGTGGAGGAGTGGGAAAAGATGATGACCTAGGGATGGTGGTGGTTATGGTATTTTAAATTTGTTTTTGTTCTCAAAAGATGAAAGATAAAAGGATGGAGATCGATCGATTTTGGAGCCAACATAATGACACCCAAAAAGTGACAATTTAAATGTACACCTATTGTTGAATGGGAATGGCAATGGGAATGTAATTAATTAGTGTACATGATGTGTACTGTACTTAGACAGTCAAGTTCTCAGACAAAGAAGAAGACATAATATAGGCAAGCAGGAGAATAAGTAAGTACATTTCACATTACGGTAGGCCTATCTTGGTGAATAAGATTTGAAATACATTCAGATTTAGACAAAGTTAGTTCTTAAACAATTAAGAAACAAACAAACAAACAAACAAAAAACAAATGTCGGTCGTCGCACGTTCTCTACTCTGGGACGTTTATTACATTCAAACAGGAACAATGATCAGAGTACCTGGGAGACAATGCCAACAATACGTCAGACAATACAGACACATAACATACTTACTCCACTAGTGTACCCTTCTCCCTCCGAGACCTAACATAGACAACACACTCTATGGAACATTACAGCAACTGCAGCAGACCTGCACTTATCACTACATGGCATTGGACAGACGGGCGAGAGCCCAGCTGTTGCTGGATCGATAACAACAACAACAACAACTCCACTAGTGACATGTACGCCTACATCAGCTACAGCTAAAGTGATTGAGTGTAAGGAGAACGCAATCGGCAATCACCTTTTACAATCCCCACCCCCC